GCAAAAAATTAAAATAATAGATTAAAGAATAGTCTTGATAAGGTGGAATAGACAGCAGTAAGCCGTATTGAAAAAGTAAAAGAAGTTAACTTCTTATTTAGGCTACATTTGAGTTTCATTCCATCAAAAAAAAAAAAAAATTACTAAACACTAATTTGATATCATTTTAACCATACATTCTTCAATAAATTTGTTACACATAAATTCAATTTTTTCTCATTTTATAACCACAGATTCTTCATTAATATACTATTCCAAAACACATTCTTTCAAAATAATGTGGCTTAAACACACACTTATTATATTGTTCAGTCGCGTTCATTGCGATAGTATTTGGTTGAAAAGATTTTATGAACCTTGGACCAATTTAGATTCGAATCTTGTTACATTTACACTTTGGTGTACACTTTACCATGTGTCATTACATAATTAGACGGTTTAAATTTTAAACAATTTTTTCATTTAATGCATTGTTGTCAACTATGCAAGTATGGACCCGTTTGGTACCCTTTTTGTAAGAATGAGAATGAAAAATATAGTCCTTACGGAATTCACATAAAAGATAAAAAATCAAATATAGTGACTTGATGTGATGTGATGTGATGTGATGAATAATGATCATATTTTTCATTTTTATGACCAAAGAATAGAAATCAAACGAAAAATATATAAATTCAGTGTACAAATGACAAAGTCCGTTAGATTCTACCAGCCTCAATGATTCCCCACAATAAAAATTACGTAGCGAAAAAATCGCAAGATGCACACAAAATTGTTTGAACAATGATTTAGAAATCTCAAGTGTAACGTGGCGTAATGCCGCCATTTCCAAGCAACGGTTTGGACTGGTCTCCAGAATACCAAATCTAACCGTTATAAATCACCACGTGTCGTTAACCATTCAACACTTGAATACCTCTTCTTATTGAAACTAATTATACGTGTCAATGCCCAGAATGTCTCGTATCTCACCCTCCAACCTCTTCTTTATAAATATATGTGCTTCGAATTTTATTTTTGCGTAAAACGAATCAATCTTGTGTTGTGTGCGTTAGGATTCTAGAAATATTGTGAGAATGAAGAAAGGCGAGAAGAGCAAACCAATTTCTTTGCCGGAATATATAGCAAAAGATTCGAAGAAGGTGGCGGCGGCGGAGATGGACGGAGAGAGTAATGGGTCGTGGACGGAGGAGGTGGAGTCACCGAGATCGGTGGCGCCAGCGGAGAGAGGTGGTGGGAAGAATATACACAGCCAAATTCTGAGGATAATTGCTGAAGATTCACATATTGGAGAAGAAAGAAATTCCGGCCACTCCTTTTCGCATATGATGGTTTTTTCACGGCCCATATCGCCTCTCAGCGGCCGTGCCAACTGAAATCAGTCAAGGTCAGATTTTTTTGTCTTTTCTTAATATTAGTTAACGTATGTGCTGACGTCACTGTTTTGGGGAGTAATTTTGAAAATTGATTTTTCGATCGTTAGGAGAAAAGTAAGGGTCATATGTGAATGAAGAAATAAAAAATTACAGCTAAAATAGTAAAATAACGATCAAAGGAATGAAAAACACTATCAAACGGGGCCATATAAAGGACTAAATTAGCAATAAGTTAGCCAAGTCAGTCTTCTCCTTGTAGCCATCGGGAAGATTAATAATTTGATTTATGTGGATAAAAATCAATTTTTCATAGAATTTGAAAAATAAAATTGATAGGATCTGAGATGAAAAAATTGGGGTCGCATGAATTGTGTGATTAAATTCTTATTAGGTGGAAATTAAAATCGAGATTTTAATATAAAGTAATTTAATCACATATTTAATGAAATCTACAAAATTTTAATTATATATTTCATTAATTTTTATCGAATTCTACTAAATATTTGAATTTTAGATAGACTTTAATTCATTTTTTTAGCTGAAATAGAGGTTTAAATTTTGTCTTTATGATCGATTTCTCTCTCCTCAGAATTGTATTTATTATTATTTTGTTATATTTTTATATAATTAAAAAAATTATTAATTATTAAGTAAATAATGAACTTTAATTTTTATGATACATCTTTTACAGCTTGTTTGTGAGCGATTTTTTGCTTCAAAAAATTGATTTTTTGATCGTTATTTCACTATTTCAGCCGTCATATTTGACTTCTTTTCTTACAGGGTGGCCCCATTTTTCTCTTAACGGTCAAAAAATCAATTCTCAAAATCACTGCCAAATAGACTCTTAATGTTTAGCTCATCATTATTATTTGAAAAATATACGTAATTACAAAGGTTTCAAAAATATATATTAACGAATCAAAGCAACTAATCACAATCACAATGAATTTCTCTTCTCATCATCTCACGCTACCTTAGTCCACAACCATCGACATCATCCAAATCGTCGTCGTCCATTCAAATCATCACCTACAACCACCATCAGTGTACCTCAATCAACCACCACCAAACTTCACATCGACCTCAAATCCAATATTACTTACAATGCACCTCTACTTCAATCTACAACCATTGAGCAATAACTACCACTATCACATAAAATCTAAAATGATCTCAACATCCAACCCACTACCACCGCTACAGCCATCGTCCCTACAATGTCACCATCCATGTAACGCTAATCGTTATTGCAGCGATTGCAAGTTCATTTGATTTGTAGCTTTGACGGGGTTGTGTGTGTGATAGAGAGAAGTGTACACATATTTGTGTATATATATGTGGAGATAGTTCTGCTCCTGTTTGGGCTCTATTAAATTTTGTGATTTTTTAAAGAATATGTGGTTAAAAATAAAAAAATCGTTTTGACTTATATGAAATATTATTTTCTGTGAGAATGTGTAGTTGAAAATGATTTTTTTTTTTAAAAAAATGCATTTTTGAGAGAAAAAAATAATAATTGGAGCCCAAACAGGGACAAAAAGACGGTTTTCTCCAGAGAGAGCTTTG